ACTCTTCGGTTCTCCACGAATTACACAAGTCACCCAAATCAGCGTTAAAAAAGCGGGAGGCCCGAAAAGCGACTAATAAACAGTGATGCAAATTAGAGTATAAAAAGAAATGCATTTAAAATAGGATGCAAGCAACACTAGTTTCTTAACCTGAATTGATAATAGACTATAATCAATTTAAACGGAACAGATCTTAAAGTTTGCATTCTTATACCATTTTGTACAATAATTCAAATGAATAAGTTCAAACAAACTAAAACTTACAGCTGATTAATAACGGTATCTAACTTGAGTTTTTATTATGTCAAAAACCTGTTGAAATGCTACTGTTATTTTTACTGTCCCCCAAAAGCGCGTCGGCAGCCTCCAGGAATGCTTCTTTCACAACTTCGCCGTCTTTGAAAGACTTCATGTTTTTGCAAGAACGTGACTGACACGATAAGATGCTATGCTAGCAGCCTTGCTCTTGTTGTTGGGCCTGGTGAAAATGGACTGCTGTGTATTTAGCTGTCCTTTCAGGTCCCTCACCTTTTGGGATCGTAGAATTAGGAGGGAATTCCGTCGTAGCGTTTGTGCACTGTTTTGAAAGGCCGCTCCTAAATTACCCTTCTTTGATAAAGCCACGCTCGCATTGCAGATGAGACAGATGGACTTTGAATTAGAATAGATACAAAAATAATCATCCTCCCTGTGTGTGCGGAGTGTCACTCCTGTTGACACGGACAACGTCAGCAAAATAGTGCCCACGCCACTGCCCACCAGCCACGCCCCGACACATGGGGTCACGCCGGCGAATCACAAAGCTTTGATGCGTTCAAGTGCATTATTCTGGCACAGGAAGATTATGTTATAGGACATTAACAATAAAACAGAATATTGTTGTTCTATTTTTAGACACATCTCGCTATCGACTGGTTGGGCACCCCTGCATTAGACAGTACCTGCATGCTACTATACGGTACAAACTGAGATATTTCCTTGCCCTAGAACATCATCACTTATGAAACTCTTAAATGTGTCTCTAGGAAGAGGATAAGTGTTTGATAATGTATTCGCCTCTGTGTGGTGGATTAAAAAGTGTGCACTTAGGATGTTAGTGTGCAGAAGACTTCCTCCCTCAGGGTCCATCCATCCATGCGTATGTGTTGTTGGCACCTGTGCTGTTAATGTGTCCCTGTGTGTGGCTATTAAGTGAAATGTGTGTGTGGGTGGGTGGGTGGTTGGGTGTAGGGGTAAACATTAATGGATGTCCAGATGGTGTTTATCTCTGGACTAATGGACAAGGGTCTACTCACTTCTGTTCTATCTCTATGTCACACTTAAAGTGTTTGTGTGTGTGTGTTCCCTGACTAACCAAGTGTTGCCAGGTAACCCCTGGGAGTACCAGGTGGCGTGAGTGTCCTGAAACCTGGACCGTACATGGACTCACTATTTGAAAAAGAAAGGTCCTATTTTTCCTCAATAAGTGCCTTTGAGAGCTCACTTCTCTTTTTTCGGCAGAGCAGCATCATTCAATGAAGTGGTGAAACTCTCGCAAACACACAATCAGATTAGCATTTGTTTTTCAGGGAGAAAATAAATGAAAGACTGCAGAAAGGGGAATACAGGGCTGTAGATGAAAGTAGAGTGCTGCTGTATTGTTGCAGCTCGTGTTCAGGCACATCATTAAACTGGGAGAGGCTCTCCAGACACATGAGAGTTTGACACAAGCCGATTCAGGGGGATACAAGATATTCTCTCCTGTTTTGTCATTCACTGTCAGACAGTCAACTGGAGATTTCCCTCACACTTCACATCCTGAGGCAGAAGATTTCTGTCACAATGTTTTGTTTACCTCATTGGAATAGTTTAGTTTTCTGTGGGGGGGGGTAAATACAGTATGTCTTTTTACTTGGCAAGATCTAAAATAAATCTGATCATCTTTCTAAAGTCTCCCAAACCATAAATGTTTTTGTTTTATCTATTTACTTTTTTTCTTAATTCTCTCCCTCTCCCATACATACTGTATGCAGCGTCTATGTGAAACTTTAGCAAATTGTTATATAAACTCCGGTAAAAAAAGACATCCTTGCATTTCTTAGAGATATTCTTGTATATGTTTCCCTCTTTTTCAAAGGGGTCCTTTTATGCTCCTTTTCAGGCTTCGTATTAGTATTTTGTGTCTCTCCTGGGACATGTCTCCTTGCTTTAATGTTCAAAAAGCTCTTAAATCTTTCTCATACTACCTGTGCTGCAGCACCTCTTTTCAGTGTGTGTGCAGGAGACAAACTCCCTCTGGAGGAAACACAGGGATTCTAAATAGTACATTGTAGATAGATAGGATTTGTTATGTTTTTATATTTATATAGATATATCATATTTCAGAAAGGTTGATACATCTTCTGTATCTCTACGCTGCTTTCATATCAGAAAGTGTTTTATGCAAGGAGTCCATTATTGCAGATAAAGGCATAAATGAAGCCTGGAATAAAGGATGCTCAGTTTAACAGCAGGCACTTCTCTGTGAGCTACACCTGCTGTGTGCAGACGTCAGGCCTCAGCCTCCATCATGGTGTGTTGGAGCTGTGGAGGAGCAGGCTGACGCACCTGCCTCTTAAATATACATGAGAACATGCGGAATGATTGCTGCACTCAGACCAAGTTGAGACAAAGACCCAGACTACCGGTGAAACGGCTCGTCATATTTCCACATGATGGAGATGCAACTCTGCATACACCTGTGACTCGGGCTGAGGGGGAACATTGAGTCCTGCTAGAATTAAAGTACTGATATGCTAAGAGTCTGAATGGATTCACAACTTCCAGAACCACAACGATTTGAAAAGAAAAACTGAGGTTATGCAAATAATGTTGTTCATGTTAAAAAAACACAAATTACCTGTTTTCAGTTTCAGATTTGTGAAGATTTAATTTGGAAATTCACAAGTTCCTGAAAAAAGAAAAAGGATGCTAGCTTAAGCCTACCAATTTTATTTATGGAAGAGGTACCATTTCCATTTTTTTGTATGACTTCAAATTGAAAAAGTGTTATCGTGTTTTGATAATTGTTCCCATTTGTTACTAACAAGATTATTACAAGCAGACAGTCTGTGCGTACTGTATACAAGATCGTATTGAAACAACTGCCAAGGAAACAGAAAGACATGTAGTATCATTGATTTGAAAGCCCAGCCATAAGTTTCACTGAGGTCCTAACCCGACTTTCCCAGTACAACACTCCAACCCAAAACACACATAGGTCTGTTATGACAGTTAGTGTTTTCACAAGACTCTTAAATGTTGTGTCCTGTTGTTAAGTTTCTTAATCTTTATCCTCATTGTTATTGGTTTAATTGGAAAACGCTACACTTTGGTGATGTGACCTCCAGTGATAATAGACACTGGGTTGAACAAGCTAA